CTGGGGTGGAAGCTACCCAGAGCAGGGCTGGAGCAGAGCTGAAGCAGAGTAAGTACAGGGAAAATGGCTCAAAGACAGCCTAGATCCAGGGATATGGTAAAGGTCTAAGGGTGCAGCCTGGCTCAGAGAAGAGTCAGGGTCCTAACCCTAGGCACTGAGACCTAGCACAGAGCCAGTAGAGCTGAGAATGCAGGGAGCTGGCTGGGCCCTGACCCAGGGACGGCACAGTAACCTAACCTAGCCCTGGCAGGTCACAGGAAGGTTCTTCCCAGCCCTCGGCTAGCTGGCCAGCCTAGCTCACTCATGGGTGACACTGACTGGGCTCATGGGTCTGTCATGGTAGCCCACGCTCTTGGAGCACTGTCTTCTGAACACTATTTCCAGAACTTCCCTTGAAGTTTTCATTATTTCATTTAAATTGTGCAAGACAGGATATATATATGGTTGGTCTCTAGGAACAGTGGCTGAGAGTGAACTCCTGACACCTTGTGCGGCAGCCTTGGTCAAGGGCCAGAAGAAAGCTCATTCCAGCATTGCAAGAATGATTTCCAACAGCGACATCTGGTGGAAGTAGAGAGTAACGCAGAGGGATGGAACATACTGTACCTGTTGGAAGGAAGGAGACTGGTCTCAAAAGGGCCATACTAATTTTTTGCTAACAGGACATTATGTCTCAAGATTGAAATGAAGGCTAAAGAAGATTCTCAAAACTGATTATTGATTCTATAGACAAAAATTGTGGAAGAATTTGAAACAGGCACAAGAAGATTCCTGGTTATCCTTTTATTGGAATGCCAGAGCCTCTGAGGACTATTCGAGGGGTGCACCTTGGGGTGTCTTTGATTTGGATATATTATAGCTTTATGGAGAAAATAGTTAATGTGCAGAACACTGTTAGCAATGCAAACATTTCCTGTGCATAGATGTACAAATGGATCCTGTTCACACCACTGTAAGCAATTGCTTTCAAGCACGAAACATAAATCTCATTGGGTCAAATCCTTAGCAAGTCACAGCTGTTTCTTCATTAATGAACGAGTTAAGTGAAATCTTTGACATGTGTTGGTTGTATGTTTGTATAATAATTATGATTATATCCCCAATTAAAATTTATAGTTTAACAACTTGGTTAAAATCCAAATAAAAATTCCAAGTTTTTTATTTGGTAAAGCGATGACTCATAAAGTTTGTATGGAAGTTTACAAGGTCAACAAGAATCAGGGTTCTCTTAAGGAAGAAGAGGAAACTGGGAGACCTGGCCACTTCAGAGATCAAGCCATCTCAGAAAGCTAAAGCACTTAATACAGAGTGGGATTGCAGAGGCCAATGATGGAACAAACTGGAAACTCCACTCATCTAAGAATATCAGTACAAGTCAGAGGTGCCACTAGGGGGCTGGAGTGGGAGCTCTTTTTAGTAAGGGCTGCTAGGATAATTCTGCAGCCATATGGAAAAAAAAACCAACTGGGCCTTTACAACACACAGACACATGCACACACACACACACATGCACACACACGCACAGATCTGTGCATATGCACACACATGACCCGGATGGGGAAAGACCTCAGCATGAAAGACAAAACTTTAAAGTTTTAAAAAGGTAAAGATTAATGACCTGAGGATAAAAGGATTTCTTAAGACAAAAGAAGCTCCAGTTCTAAAGAAAAATATCAACAAATTAGACTACTTTCAAATTTAAAACTTTAGATCACAAAATGATACCACAAACAGAGGTGGACAAACAGGGCCTGGGGATGTAGCTCAGTGATAAAGAAAGCACTTGCTCAGCATGCAAGAGGCCTGGGTCCAATCCCCAGTTTTAGGAGTGAGGGAGAGGGATGTCAAAAAATCCCTTAAAATGGGGCAAGATACTTGCATTTTTATATAAATTTGAGAATCAGTTTGTCTGTGCTTGCAAAAAAGCACCGTGTTTGATCTTTATATTCATTTGGGGATAATTGCCATCTTAATAACAGTGAGCCTCACAATGAACATGGGATATCTATTAACTCACCTTTAGTTTCTCTTAGCAATATTTTGTGGTTTTCAATGTACAAATCTTGTATTTCTTTTGTTACTTTTATTCCTAAGTATTTTATTCCATTACGTGTAGAATTTTTTTAAATTTCATTTTCCATTGCTTTTTGCTATGTTGTACATGCAATATATATTAAAATGCAACTGATTTTTGTATATCTTGAAACTTTGCTGAACTAATTTAACATTTCTAGTACTTTTTGATGAATTTCTTGGAGTGTTTTATATACAGGGTCATGTTACCTGTAACAAAAAAGACAGCTTTAATTCTTCCTTTCCAATGTGATATTTTTAATTTCTTTCTTTATTGAACTGAGTCAAATTTTTCTTTGGGGAAAGAGACAAAAGCTAAGAAAAAAAAGGTCCCAACAATATGGTAGAATTTCTCACAATTCACCTTAAAGCAAATCCCTATGTTCAAGGCCCCTGAATACACCCCAACCTCTGGTGAGCTTTTCCCACCGGGGATGTAGTCGGAAGGCTGAGGAAACTCCTCAACACGAAACACAACAGTCTAAAGGAACTCTAAGGTAACACAAACAATGAAAGGAACTGAAGAAAACTTTAAAAAAATAGCCAAGTAAAATTATTATCCTCAGAGAAATAAGAATATTGCTATATCTATGTTAAGAGAGTAGTGCCAAATATTTTTGTGCCAGAGAGCCAACATTTCTGACAATTAGATGTAGAATGGCTGAAATTTTTAAAAAATTAAACAAAAAACTTAGAAGAGACAGCTGAGGGCCTTTCCTAGAAAACAGATAAAAAAGCCAAGGTTGGAAAGAAAAGTAAGAAAATTTGAATTCAACTCTAACAGCAACTGTAGAAGGCTGAGAAGGAAGAAAATGATGTGGGTTTTCCACAGCTGAAAAACACATGTTCTAATCATGAGGTCCTGACTGCCTGATGCAGGTGAGCAAGCACTCCTGTCATGGACACAGCACCAGACAATTTCAGAGGTGCCCTGGGTTTAAGGAGAGGATCCTGTAACTTCTGGGGCTGTGGGTGGAGAAACAGGGCACACAAAAGATCCAGAAGGAGAATGGTAACAAACTTCTCAACACTGGCTCTGGGAAGTTAGAAGACAGGACAGAAGTCCCTTCAAATTCCTCATAGAAAATTTTTCCTAGCCTATAATTTCATACCCTTTTAAAATATCAATTGTAAAGTTGGAATCAGGACAGTTCACACACACAAGGTCTCATAAATTTAAATTGGCCTCCATCCTTTCTGTTTTCCAGGAAGCTACCAGAGAACCTGTCAGAAACTGAGAAATAGGATTCAGCATTGGGGAGGACATGGGAGGGTGTGATCCTGGAAAGAGGAGAGAGGTCTTCAGGTGATGATGAAGGGGTCTGGACATGGGTAGCTTGTTGGAGGGAGAGCAGCTCGGGTGGACACAAGAGAAGACACGGTACTCCAGGATGTCCCCCCCAAAAGGTAAATGAAATTCTCAATGTTTTCAACTTAGAAAACCAAGAAAATGGAAAAAAATCCCTCTAGGGAGAGTAAGTGTGTAGGAAGTGTAATAAAATCATAATCACGAGTTGTTGCGTGGGCCCTTGGTGCACAACACTCATAGAGTAACAGTGGTGCAAATAAGTGGTATCTCGGTTCACGAACTCTATTCTCTCCATGATTCTCTTCAAAACTGAATTGGACAAGAACCAAATCAAATTTCCCCATAAGGTTAACATTAAACCAACCACTGAATCTGATTTGACTCTTGTTCAACTCAGTTTCCAACTCAGAATCGCCTTGTCATGAGCAGGTATTTTCTGTCAGAGCTGGTGGTTAAGAAGTAAAGTCAACCTCCTACGTTTTAAACACTAAATCCAACCAAGACAAATCAGTGTTGTGTGGATTTAGGCAGTGAGTGTCCTCAGGATAGTCTCACAGCTGCTTTTTTTTTCTTCTCTGGACAGATAAGCTGGGGCAATGTCACTGCGTGTCATGTGGGGAATTTACCTAATTCTTACATGTGGGTCAGATCCTGGGATTGCTAAGGGCAATGCCAGTATGTGGCTCAGGAGTGGCTGATGAGTCTTGAAGGGAGAATGAAGCAGGGAACACCCTGAAAAAAGACAAAGGGCCTTCCACATCAGAAATTGGGGGCACCGTGTGTCCACTATGGCAAAGCCTAATTTACTTCACAACTTCCAGTTTCCCCTTTCTAGCCATGTCCAGAGGATACTGCAACCCTTCTGGGAAGTTCCAAATGGTGGTGCCACATGGATGCCACCCCTGCAAACCAGGGTTCCAGGGAAGTAGGAGGAATGTAGGAATGTCGCAGCCCTGGGCACCCCAGCTGGAAAGATTACTACATCTTTTTGGAGATGGCCTCAGTGCCTGGGGACTCTGGGTCCTGCTGAAGTGCAGGATGAGGATGAAGGGCATTGTGTCACCAAGGTAAAGCTCCACTTCCTGCACATTACCGAGAAAATGCACTCTCCAAGGGAGGAGGAACTGGCACAATCAATCCCCCACAACATCAGGAAAACATCAGGGCAGTCTCTAGCCTTGAGACCTTATCAGCACTAGGGACAGCCTGGTCTTGGCTCTGTGGATCCAAAGAACCCAACAACTCAGAATTCACTAGCTAAGATGATGTGATTCCTGCCATCAACATACTAAGCTCTATTTAGTTTTAAGTCTAACCTGATGGTGAAAGGGGGAAGCCTTTCATAACCCCTTCCAGGGGAAGTGGAGAGCCCTCATTTATAGATTTCTTATTTTAGCCCCAATGGGAAGTAGGCAGCACAGTTGGTACCAGCGGAGGGGTACCAGGATGGGAGGTTCTGCTTGCCCTCGTGGGGGCCTGGCTCTTGCGTTCTTAATAGTCTCAAGTCCCTGAGGTCCTCAGAACCAACAGTGAGGGTGTGAGGGGTGTATGTAGAGAAAACAGGTCACACCATGGCCAAAGCCACAATGCACTGCCCACCCAGCCGTGTGCCACGTACCAGCCTGCGGATCTCTCGCTCGCATTCCTTCTTGATGCAGATGATCTCCTCCTGGTGCAGGTGGTACACGCTCCTGATCTCCGCAGCCTTGATCTTGTCTGCCTGGATCACCAGTGTCAGCGCCTCCTCCACCTGCTTCTTGGCCCCCTTGAGCTCTGAGATCTCTTGCTGCATTTTGACCTTCTCCACCTCGAACCCCTTCTTGGCCTCCTCCTTGGCTTCACACAGGAGCACTGTCTTGACCTTTTCAGGTGCGCCATCACGCACTGTGTTGAGCAGTGCCTGCAGCCGCTGGTTCTCATTGTCCTTGATCTTGATGACTCTCAGAAGCTCGGCTTCATGCTGCCGCAGCAGGGCCTCACGCACAGCCTGCAGCTCCTTCATCTTCTCCTCGTGCAGCTTGGTCTTGAGCTCGGTGACCAGGACTGCGTGCTTGCGCTGCTCGTGTTCACGCACCTGCCTCAGCTCTTGGCTCTTCTCCCGCTCCACTCTGCTGACCTGAAAGAAAACAGAGGCTGTGGTCACCAGAGTCCTGAATGCCTGCACCCACTGAATCATCTGCATACATTCAAACAAATTTAGAGGACTTCTTTTTTGCAAACCTAGGAGCTATCATCCATTCTGGAATGTGCCTTAAAATGTCAATTAAAACCCCAAATCAAACCCATGTGGTAGACAGTGTGGCTGTGCACCATAGACTCTGCAGCATGCATAGGTGGGGACTGCAACACGAAAGTTAGGTCGTGGATATGCTCAGTTTACAGAAGTTTGCTCTGGGCCTATCTAAGAGCAGCCATGCAGGGAGGTGAAACCACGGACCCAGGAATCCAGTGGGGGCTTCTTCACACACACAGTCCTATGGGAAGCAGGGTGAGAGCGCTGACAGGATAGACATGTATGTAGAGATCTTCAAACCAGCTCTCCTTACTCCCACCAGCCCATTTCCACACGCAGAGAGTGAGGATGTTGTCCTTACCTTCTATGACACCCTTGGCAAACGGGGAAACTTCTTAAGCAGCCAAGCTGTCTCTCTAGATGATGTATAATCTCCAGATTTTGGAAATACTACGACTGTGGACTGGATGTTTCCCTTTCACTCATGCTTAAACCTCTAGCTAAGTGGTTACACTACTACACTCTGCAGACCTCAGGTGCTCTGGATGAAAGAATGGCTAAAATCCAGATGTGCTCGGATCTGCCCTGCAGCTAGAGAATCAGAAGAGCATCCCTGCAGCCAGTGGAGGTTGCTCTCACTGCTTTCACCCCTCGTAGGTCCCCGTCCTGCTGGGTAGGTAAGCTCACACAGCTCCATGGTTTCAGGTCCATGGTTGTCTCTTGTCCCCTTGGAAGCACTGGAACATGGCACTGACCTTCATGAGATTCACAGGCTCCAGCCTTGCCTGGCTGCCACTCTCTCAAGGACTGCTTGCCCCAGCTTCCAGGCCTCTCCGTTTTGGAGGGAACCCTGGCATTTTCCCTTTCGCCTGTGCTCCTTTCTGAGGCTCCAGGTTTACCCTATGCCACTGATCCCCCAAATAATATCTCTGTTTGGGCCCCTCTCTAAATCACCAAGGGAGGCCAGGGATTTAGCTCAGTGGTTCCACCGCCTGCCTTGCAAGCACAAGGTCCCGAGTTCAATCCCCGGCATGAGGAAAAAAAAAGAATTAAGTGCGTAAATCACCAAGGGCCAGCCTACTTGGTGATGGTGAGAGCCAAGCCCTATTTTCCTCCAAGATAGATCTGAGGCCAGCATCATTCCCAGAAGCTGCCCCTCACTCTCTGGCCTTCTTGGATTCAGCCAGTAGCTGGCCCAGCAGGACACAGGAGGAGTGTAGCTGCCCCTAGCATCTCACTGCCAGGCCCAGGAATGCTGTCTATGGCCCTGCCTCTGAGGGCAGGTGACCGTCTCTCGAGGCTGGATTGATGTCAGCTCCCTGCCCTGGCTTGCTCCGAGGATTGCCCCGCCCTTTATAGAAGGTTGGCATGGCCTTCCTGACTCCTTCTAGAGGTAGCACCTGTGTGGACCTTTCTCAGACACACCTCGGGAGCTACCTGTTTCCTCCCAGGACACTGAAAACCAGCCACCTAGAGACCTCTCATACTTAACCTGCCCATCTCCATGGTCTTCAGTTCCTTTGGGTGGTACCCTTGCTGGAGCCATTATTCTGGGCTCCCACCTTCCCTCACCTCCCACCCCCAAACATCAGCAAATCTGCCAGCTCCACATCCACACAGATCTCAAATCTGGGACCTACCTGCTGCCCGCTCCAGGGCCGTGTAATCTCCTAGCCCACCTCTCCTCTCCACTATCTTCAGTCCCTCTTCTACACCTATGGTACATTTAAAATAAAAGCAGTGTGCCCTCAAGGCTCACCCAAGTGACCTCGTGCCACTCAGACTGATCTGAAGAGAATGAAGTGTGAGTTTCAGGCCTTTGCTCAAAGTCCCTCTCATGGCCCACCACTTTCATAAGTGGTATCCTGCACTCTTCCTCCAACAGGGACACAAATTCTGGCCCACAAATCCTGGGCCCACCCCTGTCTCTCAGCCTCCTCTAGGCCCCTCCCCAGCCCTGCCCATCTGCTTCTGTTTCTACTGCCCAATGCCATCCTATAAAACTCAGCTGGGACCTCTTTAGTTTCCTGGTGTCATCTCCTCCATAGTGTAGCCCTGTCCTTCCACTGCTGGGACTGCTATTCACTAAGACAACCATGGCACATATATCCCAGCACTTTATTTTCTGCACAACTATGATCACTCTGTATTAGTCAGCTTTCTGTTACTATAACAAATACCTAAGGTAAATCAACTTATAAGAGAAAAGATTTATTTTGGCTCATGATTTTGGAGGTCTCAGTCCATGGTCAGTTGGCCCCATTGCTTTAGGCCCAAGGTGAGGAGGCATAAAATGACAGGGCATGTAGAGGAGCAAAGCCTTTCATTTCAAGGCTGGGACTTGAAGGAGAAAATAAAGGGAGAGACTGAGACCACACAGACCCTTTCTAATGCACACCCCCAGTGACTGGAAGACCTCTCAGTGGGCTCTGTCTCTTGAAGGTTCCACCACCTCCCAACAGGGCCATGGGCTGGGGACTAAGCCTTCAAAACCTGGGTGTTTGGGGGACATTTAAGACCAGACCATAGCATACTTCCTGAGTATCCCTGGTTTATCTCTGTGACTGTTGTATCTCCCTCTTCCACCACAGGCCAGTTTCCTAAGGGTGGTGGCAGTAGTGTATCAGCCTTCTTTGGTGCTATTTCCCCCTTAGGACAGGCATGTGACACTGATTCAGAGTAGGTGAGCACTCCTATTGTTCTATGGGGTTCAACCCTGAGATCCCACCATAGGAGTCTCCTAAGGATTTTTCAATGTCTGGAGAATTCCACCCAGATGCCTCTCTCTCTCTCTCTCTCTCTCTCTCTCTCTCTCTCTCTGGAACTTCCAGGGGGTCCCTGACTATCTCTAATGCCACACAGGACAAAGTGGCAGTGACCCAGTTGTTTGGATTGCTGCCTAGAAATCTGCAGAAAGTCTAGAGCAAAGAGATATTAATTCCCTTTCTGTTTAATATAAATCTCCTTTTTTTTTCCTCCAGGATATGCAGGTTCTGGATATGAAAAAGGCAAGATTTTTATTTTCATTTGTAGGGTGCTAATTAGGGAGGCTTTTCCTCCATAGGTGGGTCACTTCAATAAGATTCTAGAACATGCTGTGTATAGAGAAAGGTGGTGGCAAGGGAGACCATTAGCCTCCCCTCTGAGGGCCTCAGTGGATCCCAGTGCTGGATGTGTGGAGCCTAGAGTCTGACTAACATTTCCTTTTAGCAGACAAAAGCTTCACCTTGTGAAAAGTTCTTGAGTGGGAATCAGAATAGAAAAAAAACGATGTGGCAAGTATCACAGAGTAGATTGTTTTAGAGAGAGGGGAAGACTAGAGGAGAAAAAGTGTAAGCAGAACAGTTCAAGGTTAGGTGGGGTTGAATCCTGCCTTCAAGCCATTTAGAGTGATAATGGAGTCCACACTTGCCTCTTGACTACAAGACTCTGCCTTAGACAAAGGTCTCAGCCTGAGTCAGTATCAGACACACATGAAGGGCCTGGTTAAGAATTCAGAACCAACAAGAAGCCTCCTTTCCTGATTGCCCCAGAAGCACTGAAAGTACAGTAGGCAGTGTGAAACAAATGGCTTTCAATAGTGCATTGACAGGGGCTCCCAATTGCAAGATGGCCATGGTTACTGAAAGCTGAGCAGGAAGAAAAGCACACCAGTTTCCCAGGGAGCACTTCAGGGTCCTGGAGAGAAGTTGCTAGGCTGATCTCACCCTGCACTTCACCTTGCTGCACTTGAAGGGTAGCTCCCCTTTGAATTCCAGGGAGGCTGGCTAAAAGGTGCCCCATCACAGCACTATGGACTGGACCTGTGAATTCTGCTCACCATGCAGCTCCAGCAACAAGCTGCCTTCTGAAGCTCCATCCACTGAATGCTGAGTGAATGCTTTTCCTCTCCAGTGTCTGGGTTGAAGAGCGAAGCTCTGCCTACCACCCTGGAGAGACGGATGGAAGGAGGCCCTAAACAGCTGGCCCTGAGCTCTAGATGACTCAGGGTGTTTTCAGGAATGAAAAGCATCTTTCTAAGAACCTGCTAAGAACATTGTTCCACCAAAGAAGTGCTTGAGAGCTGCCTCCCTGAGATCTCACAGCTGAATCCCCTTAGAATCCTGCAGCCTGGCAGACTGATGGGAGGATTCTGTAGACTTTTCAGAGAGCAGGATGGCTCTCATCACCTGTGGGGGCCCAGTAAGGTGCTCCTCCTGGGTTCTCATGTGCAGGTTTTCCCCTTCCCCTTGGAGCTTTTGCCCTTCCAGCAGGATCTGGACAATATGATGGGTGGATGTTTTCTTCTCTCCGGGTTGGGTGTTTCCCTCAGCTGCTGGTTGGTTGCCATGGAAAAGCAAGATACGTGCTTGATTTTCCCTTTACTCAGTTGTCACAATAATGACTTGCTTCCCTGTCAACCTTGAAAGTAACTAATTGAGTTTTTTTAGGAAAACATGGATTTAAATATACTTGATGGTTTTAATTTTTTGCAAATCTCATTCTCTTAAGACGTGACATCTGTAGCCAGTGGAAGCTCTTCAAGTGGGTCTTGAATCCTCTGAACACAGCCCAAGTAGTTTTCCAGGCTCTGGCATGTGAGATAGTCCAGGCCCATTTTGCTCATTGCCTGCCCCAAATTTTCTCCAGTTGCTTTGACTTCCTTTCATGGGAAATGGTATTTCAAGGCCACTATCAAGGCGCTTGAAGCTGTTCATGTTCCTTGTTAGGTTTTTGCAGTGGATGAAGAGATATCTCACACATCGTTAAACACACACCCACAGATCTCACCTGTCACTCTCTCTAGCTTGTAAAAATTCACATTGACATTTACAATTTCCAGTTCAAATTCAGGACGACAGAGCTCCTATTTAACCTTTAGATTATAGCCTTATCTTTGTTCC